AACGTTCCCATCATCGCATACAACATTCACATCATCACGTAGTGATAACAAATAAAGTTTATTTTGTAAGATAGCAAGACCAACACATGCATTATTAAATGTTATCTTACATTTGCCATTTCCAAAATGGCAATCATATCCATCATTGTCCAAGCATGAAACACTAATCACGTTTCTCTGTAAAGAGAGAACATAAAGTACATCTCTAAGTAAAAGTGTGAAGCCATCAGCAAGCTCTAGAGAAAGATCGCCAACGGCTTCAACATCTGCTCAGACTCCATTTGCAACTTTAACGTGTCTTTCTCTTCTTTGCGTAGTCCTCGTCGAACGGAATCCCTTTCTTTGTCATGATCATCTTTAAGTAATCGGAACAATCTTTCTTATAATGTCCCATCTTCTTGCAATAGAGACACTGGTCTTTCTCTACTGTGAACTTGTTCTACTGAGGCTGATGCAGTATGAGACCCTTTTCCTTTAACTTTGAGGAGGAGTTAGCATTATTATTCTTTTTCTTGTTGTCTTTCACGTAATTGATAGTGCCACCATTGGTAGCTTTCATTCTCTTCTCCTCTTGCACACACATAGCCATGAGCCTCTCTAAGTCCCACTTCTCGGGCTGTATGTTGTAATTGACAACAAAAGTGTCAAATTCCTTTGGCAAGGAAGCAAAAATCAGATGGATAAGGAACTCTTCCTTGAGAGCTAGATCCATTGGTTTTAGCTTGGATGCTAAATTGCTCATCCTTAGTATGTGCTCTCTTCTGCTACCATTTCTAGAGTACCTCTCTGTCACCAGCTGTTTTATCAGCTGGGTAGCATATGTCTTTGAAGAGCCAGTGAACTGACTCTTTATTCTATCGAGGTACTCGGTGACGGTGTCACACTCTGAGATTGAGCCCACAATTATAGGGTCAACCATGTTCTTTATCATAGGCAAACATTTCTTGTTGGCAGTGACCCACTTCCTATGCTCAAGGTGATAGGACATCTTTTGGAATTCAAAATCCCTCTCTCTAGTTGCCCAAGCGGCACCACCCTCGTTTGTCTCCCTCACCGGTGCCACCGGCTTAGTGGGACACGGTGAGGTGACTACCCAGTCCATCTCAGCCAAGATGAAGGCCAGATCAATCTTTTTCTTTCACTCCGTGTAGTTGTCACATTTGAGAGTGAGGATCTCTTTGATACAACCAATCAAGTTGTATCCGCCTGAAAACACAATTCATATAGAGTGAGAACATAAACATAATAATAACAATTGCATGCCTTAGTTCCAACATTGGTCAAAATTAAAATATACAATTGTCCTCTACACTAATTATACATCACCGTTGGGTAGAAATAGAATTAATGCATGACAAAACTCATAAATAACATCATAATATTGCCATTAATCAACGTTGGTCAGAATAATAACAATATTATAATAAACTAAAAATATATCCATTTTTCAAAATTAAATTCTCCCGTTGGTTCGAATTTAATAATGAAAATAATAACTTTAAATACGCAGCGGAAAGCGTAAATATTCTCATTATTATTTTTCTAGAAACTTTATAGTACTGTACTTTTCTCTGAACAAAATTGTTGTTGGATCAAAATTGTGCAGAGTTGGACATCAAAATTCATTTAAAATTCATCAAATATGTATCAAAAAGTTCCTAGAAAAAATAAAACGAAAGAACTGTTTCACTGTGTTTGTGACCATTTCGGCCCAAAACACCAAAAATGGCCCACGGCCGCTCGCGCGCTCCCCCGCGCCCAGCGAAATCGGCCCGGCCTGCTCTGTTGACGCGCACGCTGTGCCTCCCAGGCCGCAACCTGGGCCTGGGCCGGCAAAGCTGCTCGCCCGCGCACTCCCACCTGGGCCGGGTGTCGACTTCGGGATATCAAAAACCCCCGCCGGCCGCCGTTCCCAAAACCCTAGCGTCATTCTCTTCTGCCCTTTCTCTCTCTTCGCCTCTCTTCTCAGCGCAGCGAGCAGCAACCGAGCGATGAGCAGCAGCCATGGCGGCCGGTGAAAGTGGCGGCGCCGCCGCGCGCCCCTTCGCCGGTGCGTGCGTCCACCCGAGGGTGAGCGCACCGCCGTCGAAGGGCTGCGCTGCGGTGCCCTTGACTCCCGAGCCTGAGGCGAAGCCACGCGGTGGCGTGACCTGCCCGGTCGGCGCCTCTGGTTCTTCCCGCACGCCGGCCATGGAGATGACCGACGGCAAAGACAGGATGGTCGGACCCCAGGTAGGAAGCCCCTTCTCTACCGTCCCCTTTCTCTTTCTAGGGTTAGGGTTTCTTTTCCCGATTCGATTCGTTCGATTCGGTTCATCTCTTTCATTTGATTTCTTTTTCTCTGTTCTTCTCAGATTTCATCCGATTGGGGATTAGGGTTAGGGTTCGGTGACCCTCTTATTTTCATTCACCCTGTTAGGGTTAGGGTTTCGTTAGGGTTAGGATTAACCCGGTTCATTTTTCGTTCACCCGATCTAGATCTAAAAACCCTAGAAAAATTTTGGCTCTGGTACCATTGTTGATCTGTTCTAATCACATGGTCATAGATCTAGCCGGGTGCATCTTGTAAATGAATAGAATGTCCTAGTACATGAACTAGACAGAGAATAGAGGGAGGAGTAGTGCTAGGTTACCAACCATCGTAGGCCTTTGATCTAGAGGCGTCTGCCATGGGCGTTGTGTCGATGTCTGCGCGAGGGCAGCGACGGTCGGTGAAGACGGTGTCAGTGGTGGGCGGTGGCGACCGGCGGTGAAGACCGATGGCGGCGCAGTGCAGTGGTGGCGGTGACGCAGTCCGGTGGCGGTGCGGCTGGTGGCTTCCCATCACTGGCTACGCCCCTCTAGATCGGATTAGGGTTTGTCGGTGGGGAGCTCGGCTCAGGCGAACCTCGTACTCAGAGCCGCCGGCCCCCACCTCTATTTATTTCGCAGTGTGACAGGGGCCCTCCAGCCATAGTGAGCTGGGCGCCCCCGATCAGGGAGCGGATCAAAGGCCCAGGGGCCCAGTTAGGATTAGAGATCAATCTAACACTTGGCTGGCATGGCCCTTTTGCAATATATCCTCTTCTCACTACAGCTTGCTCATTTGCAGAATATTGGATGATGGGGATCCTCTTTCCATCAATACGTGTGCAGTTTGGAACTAGGCTGTTGTTGGGCCTAGAAAGTAACGAATGTAGAGTGTTGGGGCTGTTGTATGGGCTGAGCAGATTAGCAATTGTATTTAACAATGTATTATACATGTACAAGGTATTAAAGGGTATATATACTTGGTGTTTTTCTAGAAATTTTGGGGGGACAACTGTACCCCCATGCACCTACTGTAGATCCGCCCCTGCCGCTAACAACGTCGGAACGTCGACGTCGTCGAAGTAGTCGTGGTAGGGACGTCGGCATAAGCGGCGGCGTTGAAGATCAGCGGCGACTTCAACGGCGATGTCGACGTAGAGCTTGTATGTTTTACAAGCGAGGGTCTAGTCCAGGCCAAGGTGGGGGTGGAGCGGCATATGTAGGGCGTTCCCTCAACAGAAATACTCTTGTTGGTTTGTCTTAAACTGACGAGGAAATTATACACATGGCGGGGACCGAACCCCCTACAATCTCACATAAATATATGCATGGGCTAAATTCAAATTGGGCTAGGTGTCACAATGCCCCCCTCACCACCACCGGACAGGACACAACGCGGTGGCACCAGCATGTGGGGGGTGGCTCCCCTTGTGCCGTGGATGGGTGCGGCCCCCTTGCTGTCGTCATCCCACACAGTCATCGAAGAGGGGCAAGGAGGAGTGATGAGGTGAGAGAGGGAGAGGTGTAGCCAGGAGATGGAGAGATGCGACTGAGTAGAGGTGGGAGTGAGAGGATGCTAGAGCGGGAGGGGAGGTTAGGTTTTCCTTATTATATACTATATGAGGTTATTCGCATGTTGAGATTGGTTGGACCGGCCTTTTACAAAGATGGGAGCAATGCAAATTTGTTCACAACGGTTGGTATAGCAAACCGCTGGCAAAAATAATTCTCAACGTTGGTTTGTATTACGAACCAACGGTGAAAATTATTTTCGCCAACGACCGCTGAAAAATACAGATGGCGAAAACCATTTCTATATTAGTGGACACCCACATCAGCTACACACCACCTCATATGTTCTTGAATCTTAGTTAAGTATGTGGCCTGTGCTCTGTTGTTTTCAGGGTCGACCACCTTCTATCTATCCTTCATTATTACTTGGAATCTTGCTAAAATCACAAATAACACCTTGAGAACCTATATGTTCTGTATCCAATCCAAGCCCTTCACATTTGAATATTTTACCATGATTATTTTGGCGTTTCACTCTCATGACTTGGAAAGCCATAGGGTTTGATCCTTTGGGTTGTTATAAATCGACATGGTACATATCTTTGATATTATAGATGTTAGTATTATTTATCTATAAATTTGGTTAAAGTTAGAACCATAAAGAGAAAATTAATATCATCTACCTCCTCCATTTCAAACTTAAATACGCACTATATGCCAGATACATAATTTTGAAACTAGAACAACTTATAGTTTAGAACGTAAGGCGATCGTCCCTTACACCAAGGCCTCTAACACTTCATCTAGTCTAGAAGCAATAATCAGGGGCTCATTAAGCAGGGCTCCTTGCATATGAAACTCCTGGAGCAGTAGGACTCGCATCAGGCCAAGAACGTGGAGGTCATGGAGGCCGAGTTCCACACAACACAAGCTCGGTGTTAATTTTGTCTAATCTAGTCCTCTAGTGCCTGCAAACTGCAGAATTCAGATAGTAGTGTTCACAGCTCGCATCGGGTGAACAATCTGTACAATTACATATCCGTAAGTAGCATTTGAATATATTCTCTTACATCAAAATGATTCCATAAAAGAAAAGAAACTTAAAAAATGACAGGAATTAACTAATGCTCAATTTGCCGTTGATGGTTGGCACTTGCAGAGCTAGCAAAGAGTAATATACTGCTAGTAGAGAGTATAAGCTAGTGTGAGAGGAGAGCCTTGTGGCACTGGCAGCTACGGCAGTGCTTCTCGGGCGCGTTCTTGCCGTCGCCGTTCTTGGCGTCGAAGTACCACCCGGACACCGTGTCGAAGAGGATCCCGGCCCCGACGCCGACAGCCAGGTCGATGGTGTAGTGGCCCCTGCACGCGAGCAGCCTGACCGCCTGGAGCACGTTGAGCGCGTCGTAGAGGCGCGCCAGCGCCATCCGCCCCTCGCGGCGCATGTCGGCGGCCGCGATCACCGCGCCCGCGACGTGGCCCGAGAAGAAGAGGAAGAAGAAGTTGCCCACGGGGAAGTCCATCGTTGCCCAGGAACTCCTCGGGAAGTCCATCCCGGAGCCCAGCACGAACTCCTCGGGAAGCGGCAGCTGGGTGGCGCAGCACTCCGCCAGCATCGCCCACAGCAGGTGAACATCGCGAGCGTCGCGACGGGTGGCTGTCCGCGCGCAGCTGCGAGATGCAGAGTCTTGCCAGGATCGCCCACAGGATGTACGCCGCCTGCATCGCGACGAAGATCTGCACGCACGCGCACATGAGCGGTGGCTGTCAATTACACAGTCAATTGAAAATCAGCCGATGGACCATGCAGAAAATGCTGGCGAGATGCAGAAATTCTTATCAATCTAAATCGGTGGAAAAAAGGAAAAAGGAGGATTTAATTTGGCGGTGGTGCCGGTGAACCAGCGCCACCAGTTCGTTGCTCTGCTCGTGGCCACAAGTTGCAGTGGCAGGACCGCCCGGACAAATCTGTCAGCGTGAAGTGTAATCTACGAGTGGCTCAGGGCTGGCTTGAAAAGTACGGGTACGCTGTTAATTAATTATTGGTTGGGGAAGTGCGAGGCACATGCGGCATTGCCGGTGCATTGACAGTGCTAACTTTGGTGTCCACAGTGGGGAAGCTCCAAAGGTTGACAAGAACAAAGCCGGATTACTTGTATTTTATTTTATACTGCTCTATAATCCAATAAATTCCACACTAATTCATCCAGTTTTACTAGTGTAAAAATTAAGTGCCTTGGCATTGTACATGCTGATTGCTGGAAGTGCTTGTGCTTGGAATACTAGTATAGTTTTGTAACAGCACAAAAGGGTGCCAAAATATACTGCTCCACTAATGTGACAGTTAGAGCATCTAAGATTACCTAATATTTTCTTCTTAGGCTGTGTTTAGTTTCAAAAATTGCTACAGTAGCCGTCACATTGAATCTTACGATACGTGCATGGAACATTAAACGTAGACGAAAAAAAACTAATTATACAATTTGGTTGGAAATCGCGAGACGAACGTTTTGAGTCTAATTAGTCTATGATTGAACACTAATTACCAAATAAAAACGAAAACGCTACACTAGCCAAATTCCTAAGTTTCGCGAACTAAACTCAGTCTTAAAAACATAGAGTTTTAAAACTCCTAAAAATTATTGTAAGAAATAAAGGAGGCTATCTCCAATAATTTCTAATAATCCACTTCCCTAAAATATAGAACACAATTTTATATCCAGAATCATATATTATTTCTAAATTATCCTAGCCACTTTTATATATTTTATCTCTCTGGTATTAGCATCACGAACCCTTCGTTACTCTTTATTCTTAGATTGGCCGACAAACGGCGAGTTTTTTTTTCGTTTTGCTAAAATCCCAGGATTAGGAAGGGTCCAGCTAGGTGAACAAGCTGGGAAGAAAGTACTACGAATGCTGGTCATTGGAATTACTCGTGACTGGAATTACTCGTCCGTTGAAATCAAAGCCGAGAAGGGTATTGTACTTCTAGGAACAATAATTGGTGGCCAAAAACGGCGGCAAAATTAAAGAGGAGACGGAAGGCACTCGAGGCAGGCAACAACCAGAAGAGGAGGCGGTGCATTGAAGCTAGGCAGGTAAGGGGACGGAAAGAAAATTAAATCTAGGCAGGCAGGCGGCGTGGGCAGGGCACTGACCGTGTTGAGCGCGGCGAGGAGCGAGTTGAGCCAGGGCGTGGCGGCGACGGCGGCGTGCATGCCCCTGGTGGCGAGGAAGCCCAGGTCGAGCGGCGGGGAGTCCGGCCTGACCATGGGGATGGTGTACTCGACGGCCATGAAGAGCAGGAGGCCGCACCCGAAGAGCGCGGGCGCCGGGTGCCACCGCAGCACGGCCGCGACGCCCGCCGCCGAGCACCACTCGGGCCGCCGCGCCCACCCCTCCGCCGCGGCGCCCATCTCCTTCGCCCCCGCGCCTCCTCCGCCCAGCGCCAGGTGGACCTTGGCGGCGTGGTCCTTGCGGCGGCGCGTTGTGGTGGCGGTGGTGGCGGCGGCGGCCGGGTCGTGCGCCGCAGTGACGCTGGGCGGCGGCGGCATGTATGCGGGAGGCGTGGCGTCGGTCCGGGGGGTTGGGTTGGGTTGGCAACCGCGTGGGTCGGTGGTGGGCTGGCGTCGCGCGCGCGCGGGCCGTCCGAGATGCCGAGAAACGCGTGGATTTCGTTGGTTTTTCGGCGTTTTTTATAGAAGTTTTGAGGGGGGGTGTGTGTGTGTGGAGGGGCGGAGATCACGAGGGGGGAGGGCAGGGCGAGCGGCGGTTTATGAGAGCGGAGATCAGTCTGAAAATGCAGGTTTGGTGCAGGTCGCCCATCATCAGCCATAAGCCATCATACTACATACATACAGAGTATTACCGTACCACGAAAAACAATCGTTGAGAATTGAGATGGAAAAAGGCAGTGAGACCATGTCGCCGTTCGTCGTTGGCGGACGGAGCAGGGCAGGCCGTTGTTGTTGCTTCTATTGCCGAGCGCAGGCTGTCGTACTGTAATCTTCATGCACCGCAGCCGACCCGAACGAGCCTGCTGCGCTGGAAACGTGACCGAGATTTGGTTCTCCGTGTGCGGCACATACATAGCTTTCGCAGGAGCTAAAGTGGGCAGGGCAGGCATCTTTCCTTGCTTATTAAATTTCTAAAATTTTATATTAGTCTTGTGTGAGCAACATCGACGCAGCTTTTTATGTCAAGGGTGGTTCGTGCGATGGATCCGTGGATGGATGTGCTAGGAGGGGAGGAAATCACCAAGCCAAAGGGCCACGACACCGACGCCCACACGGAACGGAACCTCCCGTGTTGTCTGTCGCCACGGCAGCTCGGAGCACACGCGATTGTGGTGGAGGCTCAGTTAGGCGGATCGTTCAGAGTTGACAGCCAGCCTAGGTGGCGCGCGCGGCGCGGCCCATGTACCAGTACCGCAAGTCCGCAACCAGTTTCGTCCAACCCGGTCAGCTCACCGGCCAGCCCCGTCGACCTAGCCGAATACGGCGGAGCCCCGTCGGTTTCGGACACGCGAACGGGGAGAAAGTAGAAATGGCGACTCCAAAATTCTAGGGAATAATAGTCAGAAAGTACTACGGTACAACATTTTGATTTGACTCATCCACCGACGCGTGCTTGTGCTTAATAAACGAGTCAAAAAAAAACGGCGAACCCAGATGCTGAAAAATCTAAATTCCACATTTCTTTTAAAGTTACTAATATAGATATCCGTATTTATATCCTATTCTAAATGGCTATATTTTATTTTGGCTATTTATAATTCTTTCTATCTGATTTTGGATTCGTACTTTTAAAAATATAAAATATCTGTTATTGCCTGTATTTTGTAAAACAAGTTTGTGAAATGCTAACTCACGTACACAAGTGTTGGAAACTTGGTGGAGTTAACACATTTGCACAAGGGATGAAGAAAGGAAGTGAAAGGGTTCACTAGAACGCATCGGACACTAATGTCGCGAGCATCGAACGCGTCCGATACCTAACCCTAGGTGCAGGGCAGCTCTGCTGAGTGCACCGGACTCTAGCGCGGGTGGTGACCGGACGTGTTTGGTGTCATTTTGACTGCTCTCTGTTTGAAGAAATGTTTCTTCGGATGCGCGGGCAAGTCCGACGTAGTGGATTGGACGTGTCCGGTGAGGTTTGAGCGGCTCTAGGAGCTCTTGATGTTGGACCAGACGCTGGGCAGCGTTGAGTCAGGTTGAGCACCGGACACTGAGTGAGATAGCGCGCGCAGTAAGCCGTTAGGCGCCAACGGTAACATTCAAGAGGTTAATGACACGTGGTATTCATCCGTGCACCGAACGTTGGGGTCAGGCGTGTCCGGTGGGTGCTGGCGCGTCGGGTGTGGACGCAGTCAACTCAACAAGGGGGCCAACCTGTATGTGAGTTGGTGAAGCTCTATAAATAGATGTTGGCTGGCTTGGGCTCACCATCTTAGACATTTTGATCATTGATATATTATTGTGAGCTAAGACAAACAACTCCCACTCATCTACTTCATTGACTAGTAGCGTGTCCGTGCTAACGCTACGATTAAAACAAAAGGACAATATGTTTTTTTGAAAATGAAGTGAATAGTGAGATAGACTAAGATTCATGCAAAAAAAATGCATAGTTAGGACAGGACGAATGAAACAGCGAACAAATCACCTGTTCGGCAGGACCGAAAAATACTGTTTCGGCTAATTATTGTGAGAGGAAAATACTGTTCTGACATGACGTGAACAGTGATTTCGTGATGTGGCTGACCAGCCAACAGCCGGCCACCAGCCAGCCGAACACTGCCAAAGGAAGCTATTGCAAAAAAAAAACATTAAATTGCAAATCTCGCCTGCCTTATCCCTTCACAAATTGTGCATCGTGTATCTAAATCATCATAGGCAAATATTCCTAAAAAAAATCATAGTGTAGCAAGACCAGTGGCAAAGAAAGCTTAAAGCATTAAGTCTTAGGAATCAGGTCACCCGCATCAACCATTCGAGTTGACTTTCAATTTTATGAAGCAAATATTACCCTTCAAGTTTATTGTAAGATTGTGATAAATTCTAGTACATAGTGCAGTGAGCGCTGCTTATCCAAGTTACATTACATAGTATATAGTTTTTTTAAATAAATAAAAATGTGAAAAATAATAAACTCCTGTCCTTTGCTAGAATCAATCTTCCAAGCCATGATAACACCGTCGGCACTCACTGAGTACATAATGTGTCTCCCTCCCACCAACTACAAACCATGAAATAGACAGTAAATAGAATCTAGTCCTAAGCCATGTTTGTTTTTGCTTGTTGAGCTGATAAGCCATGGCTGAAAGTACTGTTGGCTGATTCGGTATGAAAGAAAAATATTATTCGTTGACTAAAAAAGTACAGCTTATAAATCAAACAAGTCCAAATGAACAGAACGGCTAAACCTTAAAAAAGAGGAAAAAGGAACGACATTCAGGGCCCGATATCCGGTTGCAACTGCCCCTAGTCCAGGCTCAGAACCCTCCCTGTAAAAGGTTGCAATGTTCAATGGGCATGATATATATATAATTCTGCTATAAACGGGGTATTGTAACGCCCACGCCATCACCCAGATTTGGGCCGCACAGCCACTGGGGCGCTGCAGACTTACCCCATCCGTTTCAGACAGCGAACAAAAGAAGGTACAGCCCCTCCCCACCGGCTGACACAAACACCTTACATAATGTGTCTTTTTGTTTGGTTTCAAGTTTGAAACCATGATATCTTCTAAACTATTTATGTAATTAGCGATCCGTTTTCACCATTATGTTTGTCTCGATTAACTCTACAAATTAAGACCCATATTGACTATATTTTAATAAAGCTTAAAAAATAGCGACATGTGGGCCCCACATATGAAGCAAGATTTGTTTTCAGTCCATACATTTAGCAGGGCCACGCAATCCATGGTACCTTCGTTTTTTTTCTCTTTGCTTTTTTTGGTTTTCCATGATTCTGGGACGTCGGACAAATGCATGGTACTGGATAAACCCATCCCGCACACAAGCATGTGGTCCAGGCCTCCAGGTTCCAAGCACTGAAGCAAAGCACGCATGCATGTAAACCAGGTGCTTTTTAGTTTTTCCATAGTAGTACAGAGTATACTTCTTCACGACAATCTTTGATTAGCACATGGTTTGGGTCTATTAGTTTAGTGATATTTCATGGATGTGCTACTTCGGCTCCTTGTTAACTTAGTGATATTTTCATGGATGTGCTGACGTGTAGTCCTGTTCCGCCTTGGCAAGTCTAGTGCCTTGTTTAGATGCCATCCAAATTCCAAGTTTTTTCACTCTCTATCCATCACATCAATTTTTAGCCGCTTACATGGAATATTAAATGTAGGTAAAAAAATAACTAATTACACAGTTTAGTTGAAAATCACGAGATGAATCTTTTGAGCCTAGTTGATCCACGATTAGACAATATTTGCCAAATAAAATGAAAGTTGTACTATTCATCGGGTTCACTTTTTTTATAAAGTGAACGAGGCCTAGAGCTCCATCTGGTTGCCATCAACTGCACCTACAGCCATAGGGAGCTACACCACTTCAACATTTGTAATTTATGAAACTTTGAATGACCATATCTTCTAAACAGTTTATCATTTTTGTGATCTATGTGTACTATAATATCTCTTGCAATTAAATTTATAAAACAAAGCACATATTGACTATGTTTTTATATAAAAAAGTGGCACATGGGCCCCACAATTGAAAACTTTGTTAAAATATAGCCTTGTTGGATCTCATTTTGTTTGGCACATTATTTCCAACAATAATCTTTAAGGGGCCGTTTGGATCCCTTTATTTTGAAGAAATTGAAATCTATATAATGGATTAGTCTATTTGGCTTGTAATTTGATATTCAATAACTTTTTCAAGCTCACAAATAAGCCTATCTCAAATTCATAGGATGAAAGATGGAAATGGATTTTATAGATCACTATGCTATAATTCTATTCTCCAACTTATAGCACACTCTTTAACTCACTTCCTTATAATAGAAATGCAACATATAAGTATGTTCCTCATATGCCTAACAATAAATATACAAATATATTTCATATACAACTGTATTAGCTTAATTAATATATGTTTAAATTGTAATTATTAAAATAAATTCAATTCCAAGGATTAAACGAGACCTAAACAATTTATCAAACGGACTTTTTGTTCGTGAGATATCAGCCTGTTTGCTTGTTAGTTTCGGTCAGGGCTTATCAGCCAGCCAATAGTATTTTTCTCTCACAATAAATCAGCACCAACCGTGATGTAGACAAGGCCCAATCTTCCGATAGGTATGATAGCGTCAATTGGTGAAGACTCGACGTTCACGATCTAGGCTTCGAACTAAGACTGATTTGGACCCCTGCAACCGTTACACCACTGCTCCGTTGATTATCAACCACGCGAACGCGATTGACCTCACCGAAAAGGCTTTTCTACAAGCGAATCGAGAACACAAGCAAGAACGGGATGAACGCAATTTGAAATTGCAAATAAATACGAAGCTTATGATAACGAAAAGGAGTT